GTGCGAGATTCACTGAAATAATGTTTCTGAAAAGATAGAATTTTTAGTGTTAAAGTAGTAAATACCTCCAGTATATCTAGCTTAGACCTATGATTTTGAGGAAGTAACTGAAACTCTGTCAAATTCATACGCTCTTGAACATTTTAAAGGGATACAAAGTCAAAAGCGACTTTCTTACAGGACTGAAAAAGAACAGGGCAACTTTATGTTAACTATTATGTCATATAAGCCAATTATTGTACCGTAGAGAAAAAAGAAAATCAACTTACAAAATAGTGATAACAAAATATTTCAACTTGCGTGTTTTATTAAATAAGCATATTTTACAAGAATTTACCTGTCTGTTTCACACTTGATGTAAGCACTCAGCGAGAATAAACACAGCCTCGCCAAGGCATTGCTTGAACGTCCAAGGTTCAACATATAATTAGAAGGAAATAAAATATTCTGATTAATTTCTCCACGTGATTTCACATTAAAAATAATTAAGGAAAGAAATAAATCTTAAAGAACTACCCCTTCAACTGCTTCTTGTGCTTCTCATTCAGATAAAAAGTCTGGTAATGAATAGTATGAACAATCTAAAGCAAAGCAACGTGTTAAGACAAAATCAAGTCTTCATAGTACAATTGAAATTTGACAACCATTAAGTACCCACAAAATCCACTGTAAAATGGTGAAATTCTTCCAGCGCTTTTGCAGGTATTCCATTATTTGAGGCATGGTCAAGTTTCCACCTATGACTAATTTCAAAAACCTAGGCAGCGCATCAAGAAAAGAATTTTTGAGTGTTGCTCTGGATTCTTTTTACTTTTTCCTCAACTTTATTTTCCACCCGATAAAATTTGCCAGTGGTACTTTTAAGTTTGACCCAGTCAAAGGATCTAAATTCCACTTTGACTTCCAAAATCATGAATATTATGACATTGGTCTCTTGTATGGTAAAAGACAACGATGCCCTTAAATGTTTTGTACAATTACAAAACAATATATTGTTGAAACGACTATACTACCCTTTTAGTTAATAATTGAAAACCAAATACTTCCCCACTTATAAAAACTTCAAAACGAGCTTCCAATACAGGAAAAACTCTCGTCTTTTCATCTACTTGAAACTCAAAATCTAGAAAAACTTTGAAACGTTGAAGCCGAAATTTTTTTTCATATCAATTACTTCAAATCGGTAAGTACATTTACGCATGTTTAATTTCATTTTCAGTAAATTAGTATATGTTTAAATAGAGAAATTTTATGTTGACATAGTAGTTAGCATAAATTTTTTTTAACAGATCTTACCTATAAAAAAAATTGAACAGATGTATAACTTTATAACCGTATTCTCCTGTGCAAAAACAGCCAAACTGGCTATTTTGGCTGTTAACAGCCAAACAGTCGGAAACAGTCCGACTGCTTGGCTGTAAACAGTCGAACAGCAGTTGTGACTGTTCGGCTGTTAAACAGCCAATTAACTGACTCCGCACTGATTTTTGTTGACCTTTTTCTTATAATTAATAAATGAAGTTGATTAAAATCATTTCCTCATGCAAATATGATAATCCTCGTGTGTTATTTCGGTGATTTCGAATTGAATGAAAATAATCGGTGGGAATGGAGATGGACGAGTGACATACGTGGTTGTATTGCAATTCCCATAACAGAGAGTACACCATACTTAGAAATGTACCACGATTTGCAAAATAAGCTGAATGTCGATCAATCTCAATACGATATGCAATTGAGATATCTATTCAACGGTTATGGGGATTCATCCATTCCGATGCCACCGGTATTCGTTACTAATGATGCTGAATTGAATTATCTATTAGAATTGAATAAAATGCATCGGACTCCGATTGTTCTTGGTGTGACTTTAATTACGAAGGATGTTATCGAAGGTGAACGCGAAGATTCAGATAGGGCGGATAACAATGATCGAGATTTTTGGGAGACGGTGGAGATAGTTCCTGCGGATGATGTGGGTATTCCTGAGACAGTTGCTTCTAATCGTGATGTTGCTGTTACGCGCAGAATTCCGTCGACAGTTGAAGACAATGAGAATATAAACGAGTTTACAAATGAGAATTTGATTGCTTTATCCCGACAGAGATACGAGCCGGGTAGGAGCTCAGAGGTTGGAACAAGTGGACCGTCCTCCAATTCTTCCTGTGTGGCTCCCAATGATGAGGACTTGCAGGTCGAACAACTGTTTGAAACCAAGAAAGATTTGCAGGAAGCTGTGCACCGGCTGACATTAAAATTTAACTTTGAGTTCAAGGTAAAGAAATCAAACAAGTCATTGTTGACAGATGCTTGCATCAAAGACAGTTGCAATTGACGCTTGAGAGCAACTAAGATGAACACGAATGAGTGCTTCGTAATTCGCAAGTATTCATGGGAACATACTTGTGAAGTGGGAATTCTTCGAAACGATCACAGGCAAGCTCAAGCATGGTTTATTGGTTGACAGATAATGCACAAGTATCAGGATCCACGAACGATCTACAGACCTTCGAACATCATTAACGACGTCCGTCGAGAGTACGGAGTGGTCATGAGCTATCAGAAAGCGTGGAAGGCCAAAGAATGTGCGTTGGAGGATTTCATGGGATCGGCTAAAGAGAGCTATACTAAATTGGCTAGGTATTGTCATAACATGGGGACAACTAATCCTGGCACGACATTTTTTATTTAGACGGGGGGCGATAATTGTTTTAAGTATTTCTTCATTACTCTCGGACAATGTATTCGAGGTTTTCGAAATGCAATGCGACCCGTAATTCTAGTTGATGGTACAACTCTGAAAGCTAAATATCAAGGCAAATTAATTATTGCTACATGTCAAGATGCCAACATCCAAATTTACCCTATTGCATTAGGCATAGTTGACAGCAAAAATGATCTGTCCATGCGTTGGTTCTTTTCTAAACTGAGGGAAATGATCGAGGAAGTCGAAAACCTTGCCTTTATAACCGATCAGGGACAGTCTATATAAACGGTATCGCTGAAGTTTTTCCCGGGGCACATCACGGGTATTGCATGTACCATATACAAGGTAATTTGAAGACTAGGTGTCGGGGCACGGGCATCGTTTCATTATTCAGGAGAGCAGTCGAAGCTTACAATGCTGAAGAGTGTAATAAGTTCATGCTCGAGATAGGAAGTAAATTATTACCGACGTTGGAGTATCTGACGAAGATGGGGATCGAACATTGGGCGCGATCATACTTTCCAGGACGTCGATACAACATGATGACATCGAATAACGCGGAGTCTCTCAATGCATTGTTTAAAAAAGATCGAGAGTTACAAATTCTCGCAATGATTGAGAACATTCGTAACAAGCTACAACAGTGGTTTCATGACCGATATGCGGCATCACAGAGTTGCACTAGCGTGTTGGCTCCAGCTCAAGAGGAGAAACTGTTTAAGGCGACAGAGGTTGCGAGGAAGTTGAATGTGGAAATACTAGATGAGTTTCGCTTCTCCGTGCAATGTGCACGTAATACGGCATATATGGTGGACTTGACTGATAACACATGCACTTGTACGAGATTTCAGTTGGAGAGTTTTCCATGTGAGCATGCAGTTGCGGTGGCCATGTATCGAGGCTTTGCTGCGAGAACGTTATGCTCTTTGTATTACACGACTGAGTCTTGGAGAACAGCATATGCCGAGACTATATTTCCTCTGCCGAATGAAGCCGAGTGGAAAGTTCCCGAGCAAATTCTCCCATTTCATAATTTGTTACCACCAGCAGTTGAACCGCGTGGTCCTGGACGTCCAAGTACATCTAGAATACCATCTACCGGCAGAGGTTGCGAGGAAGTTAAATGTGGAAGCACTAGATGAGTTTCGCTTCTCCGTGCAATGTGCACGTAATACGACATATATGGTGGACTTGACTGATAACACATGCACTTGTACGAGATTTCAGTTGGAGAGTTTTCCATGTGAGCATGCAGTTGCGGTGGCCATGTATCGAGGCTTTGCTACGAGAACGTTATGCTCTTTGTATTATACGACTGAGTTTTGGAGAACAGCATATGTCGAGACTATATTTCCTCTGCCGAATGAAGCCGAGTGGAAAGTTCCCGAGCACATTCTACCATTTCATAATTTGTTACCACCAGCAGTTGAACCGCGTGGTCCTGGACGTCCAAGTACATCTAAAATACCATCTACCGACAGAGGTTGCGAGGAAGTTGAATGTGAAAGCACTAGATGAGTTTCGCTTCTCCGTGCAATGTGCACGTAATACGACATATATGGTGGACTTGACTGATAACACATGCACTTGTACGAGATTTCAGTTGGAGAGTTTTCCATGTGATCATGCAGTTGCGGTGGCCATGTATCTAGACTTTGCTGCGAGAACATTATGCTCTTTGTATTATACGACTGAGTTTTGGAGAACAGCATATGTCGAGACTATATTTCCTCTGCCGAATGAAGCTGAGTGGAAAGTTCCTGAGCACATTCTCCCATTTCATAATTTGTTACCACCAGCAGTTGAACCGCGTGATCCTGGACATCCAAGTATATCTAGAATACCATCTACCGGAGAGTTTCCTCGAACGCGTAGGTGTGGCCGGTGCAGAGCCGTAGGACATACTTGACAATTTTGTACCAGTCAAATTTCCCTAAATGACGATTAGACAGGTACGTGAAATAAATAATATTTCCTTTTACTTTACACTGTTCAATATTTGTTATTTATAAATCTTCCATATTCAATATTTATTCTTGATAAATGGTATTTATAATAATTCATATGAAAAAATAGTTCCATACTCGACATACGTGTAAAATAACAAAAAATAATTAAATTTCCAATTTGAATGTTATATACATTGAACACAAATTTACAATTATTTCATAATTACAAAAATAATTAAATTTACAATTGAAATATTACATATATATAAATGAAATTTACGGGTCAGCATTAAATTCGAACAAATCACATGCTAGCTTCTTTCTCCAGTTCTGTATCCACGACTGGTTGATTCCATCAACCTTATGTCCTATACTTAAAAATTCAACGTACTTAATGGCAAATATGCCGCAATCGCCGCTGCAATTGAACAAGAATGAATCAGTTCAGTACTGTGTAAATAAAAACTAAATCTGAAAGATGAAAACAACAAAATTCAAACACTTACCTTACGGACTGTCGCGTTGTCGTCGTGTTTTGAACGATCCGCAATCTATCATGTACATTTATCCCCGCTCGTCTAGCCATCATAGGAACAATTACAGCCACGGACTCCAGGTTTTGCTCCAACTGGCCTTGTGTCAAACATGAATGATATGAGTCGTACACATATATAGTCGAGTCAGCAAAAACGATCTCCAGCGTAACATAGTGTTTGTTGATGCACGCTGGAATGTACATATGTGTACAACCCTCCCATGATTTTCCCCTGACACTCGGTGACAGTTTTATCACTCACTCGAGCATATATTCTGGCACCGTGTACTCGTTACCCATAAGTTCAAGCGACTGATACTCTATGGTAACGGCACGCAGGAACTCGATGTTTAATATGACTCGACCATGGACATCAAATGATTTTGGATGTCTTTGAGCTCGATCTCGCAGCAAGTCCATGACCAGGTCGATGTGCTGCAGCAGGAAACACCAAAAAAGTATGAGTTATTCGTTTAATAAACACAAGGTCACATATACATAAAAAACACGAAATGAATAGTTCACTTACATCGTCAGCGAGCCAAGCTCCCGCAGTGGTGATATCGTGGAACCACTTGTAAGGGTCCGAGACCGTCCTTTGACCTATCGTGCGGCTAACTCTGTAAAAAACAGGGAAATATTTTATAAGCGTAGACGAGTTAGCGTACAGTACTTTATTAAAATCATACAATACTTACCCGGGGATAATTCTCCTTCACTCTATCTCGAACGCTTTTCACTTGGCATTGTCCACCTCTCTGAATAAGTTCGGGTACGTCCCATCGATAAACGTCCTCCTCTTGGCCTCAGCCGTGAAGGGGGAAACAACATACTGTGACGGCACTCTTAACCTCTTGCCGACCACCTGCTCCGTCTCGTCAACAGCATGTCTCTTACCCTCAATCACGTCGGGCGTCCTCTCGACCTCCGGGGCCACCTCCTCCGCCCCTCCCGTCGGGGCCTCCGCCTCCGTCGCTACCACTTCCGCCCCTCCCAGTCGAGGCCTCCCCCTCCGTCACCACCTCCTCCGCCCCTCTCGTCGGGGCCACCCCCTCCGTAGTCCCCTCTCCTATCCCCATCGGGGCCACCCCCTCCATAGACAACCATAATGACTCCAATGTCTCATCACGCCAAAAATGTGGGTGACCCCCCTTTCCATCACCATCTCTGCCACCCTCTCGATCATGATCTCCGCCATCCCCTCTGTCCCACCATCGTCTGCCGGCTAAATCTCCTCTAAGCGCCGCTACTGTATCCTGAAAGTCGACAACGGAAGACTGTAGTATTTCAACATCATGGGATAAATCGTCAACCCTCCCTATCAACTCTCGTCCCATATCGTCGACCCTCCCTGTCAAATAGTCGACTCTCCCTGCCAAATCGTCGACCCTCCCTGTCAACTCTCGTCCCAAATCATCAACCCTCTCCGTCAAGTCTCATCGTAGCGCGCCAACCTTCTCCGCTATAAATCCAGTCAAACGGGCATACAAATCATCACTGTGCCCCGGAGACAGACGGGGGAGGTGTCTAGACGGAGGTGATACCAATGACGGCGGCAATAGCCCTGGCGGAGGTGATGCCACTAGCGGCGGTGATGCCCTCGACGGAGGTGATGCCAATGGCGGGGATGATACTCTCGGCGGAGGTGATGCCAATGGTGGCGGCAATGCCCTCGGCGGAGGTGATCGTCAATCAGCTGGACCGCCCTCCTACATAAATAAAATGAAAAATTATTCAATAAATTTATACGTCGACGATATTCAATAAATTATATTTCATTCAATTCACATACCCAATCTCGGTACAAGCTCGGATCAGACATCTCCTCGTCTGGGGTGTGCGGAACGCCTAAATCCCGCACAAGACCCCGAGCCTCCTCGTCTATCGACCGCGTCAACTCAGGTATGACTTCAAGCTGACATATTGACATTTCAACTACTTAACGACCATGTAAACAAAATTTTAAACTACGTATAATATAAATCACAAATGCATAATACTTACCCGAGGATCGTCGAGGAGGGCCGATAACTGCTTCCCAGTGGGACATCCCTCCGCTCGCGATGATCTCCAATGATGCATCCGAGGGCAGCGTGTCTCCCCTCGCTGTGCAAAGCGGGCCCCCAGTACAGGAACTGTCTCATACACCCAAATCTGTAACACATACACTTATTAAGCATCAATGTAATACACTAAAACTTTAACTTTGATTATATTAAACATTTACCTGCACCGCTAAGGGCAATCCATATGTATCGTATTTATGCATCGATCCCCTGGGCCTCGAGTGCGATCTGGTGAACACATGTACGGTGTCTTCGTATCATCTTCGGCCCCATGGATAGTTGTTGAACGCATCGATGTCGTCAACAACTTGCAAATGAAAAATATCGATGGCAGTCTTCTTGTGATGACACCTCATCACACTCTCGAGGATGTAGACCAGCCCAAGCTTCAATCTATCTAGCATATGGTCGCACCCCCTGACCGCGACCATCAAGTCGAGCAGAAGCACCGACTCATGTCCCTGAAAGTACGTCTCGTACAGCCTATTACTTCTCTCCATGGCTGCATCGTCGCCCGTAATCCTCAGTCCAGTGATCAATGTAAACTCAAACATCGAGAAACTGATGACCTTGCCCCCGATATCGAACTGGAGCGAATCGCCGTCGACTGGCCTCAGAAGCCGACATAGAAGTGCATCAATGATCTGTCCTGAGTACTGCACCTCTCGCAACTGGTACAATGACCACAAGAAGGACTATCGTAGCATATCTCCGTGCTGATCATCGAGCAGCTCCAATACAGCAGTAAAACTCTCAAAACTACTGTTTCAAGTAGCTTTCCCCAACATCCGTCTCAACTCTGCATCTAAATGATACTCCATCCTGTAAAAATTTAAATGTTATAGCATTAAACAAGAGATAACAAAAGAAAGAATAATCTCACAAAATTAAGGGAACCGAACTCTAACTACCATACAATCACAAATATTACATTTGAAAAATATATTTACAAAAAACAACAAATCAAATTGAATGTATTGTCAAAAAAATTAAACAATATAAATATTATTTAAATAAATTGAAAAAAAATTAAAGATTTTCATAAAAGAACAATAAAAGGAACAAAACAAATTGTTAATTTCTAACAATATTAGGTATTCAATTATTAAATTATAAAAATTAAATAATTAAATAAAATAATTATTATTTGAAAAATATATTTACAAATAAAAAATTTCAAATTAAATACATTTTCGAAAAATGTAAAGACTATTTATATTATTTTAGAATATTTTAATTATTAAATTATATAAAAGACAAATATAAAAATTAAATAAATAATTACTTTACATTTTCAAAAAATGTAAAGTCCATTTATATTATTTAAATAAATTGAAAAAAAATTAAAGATTTTCATAAAAGAACAATAAAAGGAACAAAACAAATTGTTAATTTCGAACAATATTAGGTATTCAATTATTAAATTATATAAAAGACAAATATAAAAATTAAATAAATAATTACTTTACCTTTTTTTAAAATGTAAAGACTTCATATTATTTAAATAAATTTGAAAAAGTAAATTAAAGATAATTTCATAAAAAAAAAAAAAAGAATCAACATTGTTAATTTTACAATATTTCAATTATTATATTATATTGACAATGATAAAAATTAAATAAATAAATAACATAATTACTATTTAATCAAATAAAAAATTTAATTAATTACAAAAATTATAAAAAACAAATAAAAATTAAATATATAACAGTATGGGCCGTTAACAGTCGGCCCAGACTGTTAACCCAGACTGAAACCGACTGTTAACGGCAGGCAGCCGGGAACCGCCATTCCCGACGACTGAGGTCCAAAAAAAGCAAAAAATCCACATTTTTCACACTCCCAACATGCCCACAATCTAACTACTCATACTCATGGATCTAATTAAACCGAAATTAGTAAGGAAAATGCTAATTTTACTAATTCAAAAAATTTTCTACTGAAACAAAAAGTGATGAAAACTAACAAGTTATTTTATTTCCGGTGTAGATGATGATCATTGACTGCGATGTTGGTGTAGTTGCCGGTGGTTGATCGTTCAAATTTCTGGCGTCGGTTGGTCGGTCAGAATTTTTCAAACAGTCTGAAGGGTAAAATCGTCTTTTACTGTGAAGTTTTTTTTTTAACTTAATTTGTTTTTTTTAATTCATTTAATGGGTCAAAGGCCATTGTCAAATTTTGCTAAAGTGGAAGAGCTATTTTCGTGTATTTCCTCAATTTGCCATCAGCGTTCTCACCTTTCTGAAGCTGGTCAGGTGAATTTTTTTCACGCAGTTCGAGGTTCATTTATACCTCGAAGCTCGTTTGAACATTCTACCTCAGATTCCCATCTCGTTTTAGCAAACTTCTTTTTTTTTTCCAGTGAGCCAGGGTTCCTCTCTGTTGTGTGTCCCCCTGAAATACATCATCATTAAAACATATTTCCTAAGGAAACTGAAAAAGTGCTTGTTTGGTAAGGACTGTAGACAGGATTAAAAAAGAAAATCTTAACTGTTTCAAAGTGCGAAACGATATCCTCCCCTTTCTTTACAAAAGGTCGAGTAGGCTCACACCAAGATTCAACGAAGAATATCCTGGAGCAGTTGACGTGCATTGTCATATAATTGAATTAGCAAACATGAATAGAAATATGAAAACAAGATATAACGTACTGAATTTTTGTGTTCTTAAACAACTGCATGCAGAAATTTCACAACTTGGTGCATTACATATACACAGAACTGAACTCCCCGCACCCCCAACATGTCTATCTATGATGCTATGATTAAGCATCTCTGTCTACCAAAATGTATGTAACATTTCAAGTTTGTATGGGGGCACGTGCTGAAACAAATGTACAAAGGTTGAAACCTAAACATACATTAGCAAAACATGAGTTCAAACAGGACAGCAAGAGTTTATCAAAAGGGTAATGAAAAATTTTTAAGCATACTATAGATGGCCATCTTGATCATCTGAAGCAATACTAAATTTCTCTATATTTTCAGTATTGTCCCCAAAGAGCCCTCAAACTATAACAGCTTTCCCTAAGTGTCGTCCTATCGTGCTAGGTAGACTACACGAATTCGATACATCAGCAATTCTATGAAGAAAATTAGCATTAGCAACAAGTACAGAATAAGAAGTGGAAAAAGTGAAAAAGAAAAAGGGAAAGAAAATATCACTACATATCTAGCAATTTCAAGTGCTCGTGGAATAACGAATTCCGATGATAATTTTGCTCATCTTCATATAAAGTTAAATCAAAACTCATCAAAATTCCTCAACAGACTACATTAGATAAAATTCAAGAATGCTATTTTTCTTTACAATATCCCCAGCTAAAGAGGGTTATGCTCAGCATTTAAGGGTGGTAGTAGCATATTTACATTGTTTCAGCTTCTATATGTAGGTCCTTAAATTCATCAAATTTTCCAATTAATTATCTTTACACAATCTTAAGGAAGGATCCACTCCAATGACACTTACAACAACAAAATAAACCAAGATCAACTCGAACAGGAATAAAAAAGAGAAGACAACATATCAAATAGCATAAGAATTTTCACTTTAGTTTTAACATCAGATTTCTCGCTTCAGTGGTGGCAACACTTGCAGCAAAAACAGCAAGCTTCTTTACCTGTAGCAAATATAAGCCCCTGCTTGGGCTCCATTTTATCCAAAATGCAAATTTTCTCTCTCCTCTTTTAACCACACATTCTCTGATAAAACAATAATACAAATAAACCCAAAACTTTTCCTTCTTTTTTAATCACACATTCTTAAAAAAAAAAATCATTATTTCAAGATACATTCTCCCCAAAAACACATTTTAATAGAGCCCAAACAGGGGCTAAATGTGATCATGATAAACCTAATAGAACACCGATCCTGGCTGCAATAGCTAAATAGTAAAAATTTGCTACCGTGCAATTCAAGTGCTTCTTCCTTAATAAATACTTGTCCTTAAAATAATGATCTTGTGCTACTTTATTTTGTCCCAGTGATTAAAGCACTTTCACGAGTGAGTTAAAATCTAATGGAATGTAATTTTGTGGGGTTCACTTTTGCATTTGACTTACTACATTTTTTATTAAAAAAAAGGTTATATTTAATATTTATCATTAATTTCTTTCCATGTTTCCTAGAAAAAGTGATATGTCTATTGTTTTAGGCCTCTTTATACTATCATGTCCTTTATCTTCTAATTTATTTTCCCGAAGGTGATTTGCTATTGTGCGCTGCCCGTACTTATGGTTAGCAATTAGGAAGAGAACTTGATGGCATTCTACAAGGGAGTCGGGACACACAATGTTTGAATCCTTTGGACATATAAAGGGTTTCTGTGTGAAGATGATTTGTATCAGCATAGTTTACTGCAGGGAAGAGCTTCCCAATTTTATAGATTTCCTCCTATATAGCATACATTTTATTTGCTCTAAATTTCTTAATAAACTGACATTACTGAGTATCTTAAACTGCTTTCCTTATATCGTGCAATTCAAGTGCTTTTTCAAAAGAATTAGTCAAATCCCGACAATTCTGCTCAATCATATCCTCAACTTGAGAGTTAAGAGAAGAATAATCAAGTCATAGCTGGTGAACATACCAGTATACGCGATCATCTTCTTCAAATGCTGCAAACACTATATCATCCTCGGTCAATTGAGCACCTTAAAATGATATAAACACAAAGGCATTATTAGAACTCTGAGTGATATATATCAAGTAGAAAGACAAATTCAACGTTAGTATAGTACCACGTATGCAGGCTTCAATGTCTGGCTGAGACCTCTGCTCTTGTTGTGTATGCCTCAGGACAGGTAGAACATTAACTAGCAAATTGGGGACCTTTCAACTCTGATACTCTCATTGGTTTCTAGACAGCGCCCCGATAACAACCAAACTATGTCAAAAAATACGGAAATAACGTAGAACAATGATACCTTAAGTGAGGCCATGATACCTTTACATGTACAACTGCTTAATGCCAAGCTTTGCAATTGTAATTTCCACAGCAACATGGGCATGATTTCAAATTTTCCTCTTCTCTCCTCTTGGGATACCTAGTTCATTACACACATTTCAAAAATATAACCTGATATTTTATCAACTCATAAATATGATTACATCTACCACGTAGATCAGCATAATTATATTCAGTGAAACTTCCTAAAGAAGTTTGAGATGCATAATAGGTGAAGTTTCTTCTATTTCCCACCTCAAAATCTATGAAGTCAGTGATCATTCATGGAAAATATATTTACAATTTTGTCAGTGAAAGGAACTAGTAACTCTCTTTACCACTTTGCAATGCACTAATAACAGTAGCGTTTCTTCTTGCATTTTAAACAGATGACAACACCAATATAATCATTCTTCAGGCATTGGTGATACATTGACCCACTATTCGTGTTTGGTGACATCCTGGAAGAAATATATATAAAACTTAAATCTCAAAAACAAATTAGTTATAAAATAATTTTCTTACTATGTTCTTGAAATTTTTGTTATTATATTCTCGTACCTTTATATAAGAATAGCATTAAAAAACCGAACCTTCGATGTGACAACACCAGCTGCCACCTTAGAGGCCCATAAGACATAATACTCATAATGCAAAGAATAGTAAAGGCCTAACAATCTTTATTCTTTGGAGTATTCCCTTCTTCTCTACATTTATTTGACATGATTAGTTGAAGGGACATATCCATACTCGTACAAAAAGCTTGAGAAATTATAAACAACAAAACATGCTAAAAAGGGGTTAAAAAGTAAACAATGAGAATGCGATATGCCAGGCAAAACTGTGGTTTTTACGTACACCAATTTATTTGAAGCATCCATATTGCGGGATGCCATCAACTTAATGGGACAAAGGAAGATCACCTTGATCTCATGCCTTTACTAGCAATAAGTAGCCCCATATTTACATCATTTTGGATTTTTCATATTACTTTTTACTTAAAAAAACCTATAACCCCTCACACACTTGATAAAAGTTGACTTTTGCAAGAGTCAACAACAAAGTGATCTTCGTGAATGAGGTCTGCAGACTAACGTTTGTATTATTGACATGCATTATTTTCATTTCCCTCTATCTGTGATGCTATGATAAAGCATGTGTCTATTAAAATGATTGTAATATTCTAGTTTGTATGGGCACCATTTTGCTGAAACAAATGTATAAAGGTAAAAACCTAAGCATACATCAGCAAAATACGAGTCTGAACAGGACAACAAAAGTTTATTGGAGAATTCTATACATTGTAAATGGTCATCTAATCCTCTGAAACAACAGTACATTCCTCTGTATTGCCAGCTGTCCCTAGAGACCCTCAAACAACAACAGCTTGCCCCGGTTGTAACCCTATTCCACTTGGTGGACTACCAGATTTCAATTCATCAGCACTCCTACAAAGAAAGTGTAGCATTAGCAACTGAGTAAAGTGGGGAGGAAAAGACAATGTCATGACAGTCGACATATCTAGCAATTGCAAGTACTCGTGGAATAAAGAAATCTGATGATAAATTTGCTCATCGTTGGATGAAGTTACATCAAAATTCATAAAAATTTCTTAACAGTCTACTATTGGATAAAATTCAAGAATGCTATTTTTCTTAATAACATCTCCTTATGCTCGAGATTTAAGGATGGCAGTAGTTATACTTTGTTTCCACTGATGTACGTAGGAAATAAATCAAAATTTAAGTGGTTCACTCCCTCAAACTTTCTTGTCAAATCTATACTTTATTTACACAACAATCTTAAGGACGGATCTCCTACTCCAATTACATATTTTACAGACAACAACAAATGAAATCAAGAGTAAATTGAACAGTAATACAAAGAATAATATATAAAATAACACAAGAAATTCAGGCCCTGTTTGAGCCCCATTCTACTAAAAATTCATTTTTTTAAAGCTCATTTTCAACCACACATTCTTCAATAAAGTAATACTATGCACAAATCCATACTTTTCCTTAATTTTTAACCACACATTCTCTATCTACTATTCAAAATGCATTCTTTCCCCCAAAAATGGGGCTCAAACAAGGACTTACCTTTAGTTTTGACATCAAATTTCTCCCTTCAGTGGTCGAAACACTTGCAGCAAAAACAGCCACTTCACCTGTAGGAAATAGAATTTTGATCGTGTTAAACAATTAGAACATCGATCATGGTTGCCATGGCTAAATACAAAAAATTTGCTATCGTGCAATTCAAGTGTTGTTTCCTTCAAAACTATATGCTCATATTGTGCAATTCAAGTGCAAGTCAAATTTGAGGTTTCTCAATATCCTGAAAATCCATAAAATTTTAAAATATTGAACTTTTCCGAATACATCTGTACTTCACTAGAACCAATCAGTTGCAGATTTTTCTTAAGCCACATAGCCTGCTGCACTCTTTCTTATCAGGAGGTTTCTTATTTTTTGAACCCTTTGGTCGACCTCATCTACTCTTCTAGTTAACTCCATCTGAAATCTCATTACTAAGAACACTACCAAGGCCATCGTTTTTCTTAACAATGCCATTGCCATCATAATTACCAACAAAATTTTTGCTGAATCTCCGTCAACATCACCGGATGATGTATGTGTTTCACCATTAAAATGTACCTTTCATTTTCTGGGTTGGTCAATCATAGGTAGAAGTTTCTTTGAGTTCTCGTGACCCTTCGGGGCCTCTTGCCGGCTCCTTTCCTCTCACAATCCCATCTACAAGGGGTTCTTAACCCTTATCAACTTGAACCTGCATCTCCTTACATCAATCACGTAACTTTTTGCTTGTTCTTCGATCCCTCGGCTGCCCTTATTTGCAAATGTATGGTTACCTCAAGCACCTTGACCACTAACCTCCCTAGGAACTCCCCCATCCTTACTAATGCCTAGATCAATAATGACATCCTCGTTCGAACAATAGAAACTTCCAGAATTATCATCCTTCCCAACTATACCTTAATCTTTCCCTTTCTAATGACTTGAACAATCATCACTTCATCCTCATCCTTCTTCTTCACATTCACCTTACCATTTCAAAATTCTTAGCTTCAATTGCCATTTGCCACCTACATTGCCTCAATTTCATTCACAACTTTAATTCACTTTTTTGTTTCCAGAACCCTCTTGCCAACCTCTTTTTTCAGTCCTAACAACATTATCACTTTCTTCATGAATTCTCTTCTTCTGCATATTCTTAGAACGCTTTAGTCTTCCTTTCTTCTTTACCACCATCTTCACCCCCATTTTCCCCAGCAATCACACCCACTTTCCCTTCGCTTTTTCTGCCATCAATTACCAGATTTTTCTTGTCCCATGCTGCCTCCCACCACCATCACTCACATCACTATTTCCAAAAATGGTGTCATAATTCCCTCCACAACCGGTTTCTTGATTTTCCTTCTGCTGGTTTTTCTTCATGTTCCTCCTCTCATACAAACACTTGTATTCAATTTCGTGCCACTAACAGAGAGTTTAGCCAGGAATAGCTTTTGATTTGCACCTTCATTTTCCTCTGGACCCAGTCCTACCGCACTGCTTCCTCTGATTGATCCCTTCACTGCCAGAGCTCCCTGTACCACCAGTCGCCACTTCCATCTTTTCCCAATTTATTTTTTCTCACAGCCACCAAAAAGCAAGTAACAAAAATTCTTTGTAAACCCTTCACTTAAAGACCCAAATTTTATTGGCAAATTGAATAATTCACCACCTCGTTGCTCTAATATGTAGGAAGAAAACAGAATGCAAGCTGATTAAGAAAGAATTCAATTTCAAATTCATCCCTTCAAATTAACAAGAAATGGTGTCAGAATTCCCTCCACCACCGGTTTCTTAATTTTCCTTCTGTTTATGTTTTCTCATTGTCCTCATTTCATGTAAGTTATCTACAGTATTCTTAAGAATCAATCTTCTCCAATTAGATTCTTCAAGACAACAATAAACATATCTCAACTAAATCAAACAGAAATGCAAATATATATATATATATATAATTAAAGGAAATGGATCTAGCATAATGAAAATAGAGGAAATTACAAAAAATGTCCATTTTGACAATCATTTGCAAAAACATTCAAAAATTTTCAATGTCCGTTTTTGCAATTAATTGGACGAGATACCCCTAAGTAGTTTCCATGAGAAATTACATTAAAATGATGTTCTCGACATTTCAAATGTCGTTCTCGATATTTGAATCTGTTTATATTTGAAAAGTACACATGTCAAATCACAATATTAAATGTTTTCGACATATTAAATGTCTAAAATGACATTTCATTTCGAACATGACATTTCTCTACACTTTAAATATTGTTCTCGACATTTCAGTGTCCAGCATTAATTGTGATTTGACATGTGCAATATAAAATTATTTATTCTTTCATTAAGCGTAAAATAGAAAAATTGATATCAAATTTGGCAATTTTTGCAAATATTATCAAAAGTGAATATTTTTGAATTGACATATGTAAAATTGGACATTTTTACAAATGCCCCTTTGACAATTATACTTTCGAAAAAAAAAAGTTTTGAATAATGATTTTTAGGATAATATGTGGTTAAAAGGTAGGAAAAACTTTTCAATTTTGCTACATGTACACCAAAGCTTATATAATGATTTACATAATGCTACGTGGTACTCTACCATTGGACAATTTAAAATGTAGTTAGCTTTTTCATCCTGTCATTTCTCTCCAACTCATCTTCTAGTATTGCTTCTAGACAATTTCTCTTGGCAAAGTAAATAATTCAAAATTTTTAAATTTATGTGCAAAATATTTTTATATATATATATATATATATATATATATATATCAAACAGCACGAGAAATTTAACATTATTTGACATCAGATTTCGCATTTCAATGGTGGCAACGCTTCGCAGCAAAAACAGCAAACATCTTTACCTTTAGCAAATAGAATTTCGATCGCGTTAAACCTATTAGAACATTGATCATGACTTCCACAGCCAAATAAAAAATAATAATTTCGTGCAATTCAAGTGCTATTTCCTTCAAAACTACAGTGCAATTCAAATTTAAGGTTTCTCCATCTCCTGGAAATCCTAAAAAATTTAGAACGTTGAACTTTCACAATAAATTTATACTTTGCTAGAACCATTCGGTTGCACATTTTTCTTCAGCCCCTTGGCCTACTACATCCTTTCTTATCAAGGTTTCTTATTTTTTGAACCTTTGGTAGACCTCATCTACCCTTTTGGTTAACTCCATCCGAAAGCTCATTACTAAGAGCACTGCCAAGACCATCTTTTTTCGCCCTCATTATTACCGACAAAATCTTTGCCTAAAACTCCCTCAACATCACCGTATGATGTATTGTGTTTCTCCATTAACAATCCAACCTTTCATTTTCTCAGTTTGATCAATTATAGATAGAAGTTTCTCTAAGTTCTTAAAACCCTTTGGCCTCCTGCCGACTCCTTTCCTCTTCACAATCCCATCTAAGAGGGGTTCTCAACCTTTATCAACTCGAACTGCATCTCCTTACATCAATCACAGTAACTTTTTGCTTGTTCTTTGACCCCTTTGTCGACCTTATTTGCAACTGTATGGTTACCTCAAACACCTTGACCACTAACATCCCTAGGAATTCCCCCATCCTCACTGATGCCTAGATCTGTAATGACGTATCCTCGTTCAAACAATAGAAACTTCAGATTTATCATCCTTCCCAACGATACCTAAGATCTCCCCCATTCTAATGACTCGAACAACGATCACTTCATCCCATCCTTCTTCTTAACATTCATCTTACCACCTTCAAAATTCTTAGCTTCAGTTGCCCCCTACATTGCCTCAATTTCATTCCCAACTATAATTCTCTTTCTATTTTCAAACTCTTTTTTCAGTCCTAACAACATAATCACTTTCTTCATGAATTCCCTTTCTCCTTATTCTTGGAACCCTTTGACCTTCCTTTCTTCTTTGCCCTAAGAGCACCACCATATTCACCCCATTTTCTCCAACAATCACACCCCACTTTGCCCTTTGCTTTCTCTGCCCTCAATTTTCTGATTTTTCTTATCACGTGCTGCCTCCCACCACCACTCATATCACTATTTCCAGAAATGGTGTCAGAATTCCCTCCACCATCGATTTCTTTATTTTTTTCTGTTGGATTTTCTTCATTTTCCTCATAAAAACGCTGGTATTCAATTTTGTGCCTCTAGCAAGAGTTTTACCAGGAATAGCTTCTGATTTGCACCTTAAGTTTCCTCTGGACCCAGTCCTGCGACGCTACTTCCTCTCATCGACCCCTTCACCACCAGTGTCGCCGCCACCACCACTGGAACCCCTGTACCACCAGTTGCCACTTCCATTTTTTCCCAATTTATTTTTCCTCATAGCCACCATAAGCAGGTAACAAAAACCACTTGTAAACCCTTCACTTAGAGACGCAAATTTTGCTAGTGAATTGAATAATTCGCCACCTATATGCTCTAATAGGTAGGAAGAAAACAAAATGCAAGCCGATTAAGATTGTTGCAATTTCAAATTCACCTCTCCACATTAACAAGAAATGGTGTCGAATTTCGTCCACAACTGACTTCTTGATTTTCCTTCTGTTTTTGTTTTCTCATTGTCCTCATCTCATATAAGTTATCTGTACAACATTCTTAAAGATCAATCTACTCCAATTAGATACTTTACTGATAACAAAACAAATCTCGACTAATCAAACAGAAATGCAAAGGAAAACATATCAAAGTGCACGAAAAATTTAACTTTAATTTCAACACTCGCTACAGTGGTGGCAACACTTGCAGCAAAAATAGCAAGCTGGTAAAAAATAGATTTCCGATCATGTTAAACCCGCTAGAACATCAATCATGGCTCCATAAATTAAAAAAACTGCTGTCGTGCAATTCAAGTGCTGTTTTTCTTCAAAACTACATGCTTATATCGTGCAATTCATATTTGAACCAGCATCTCCTTAGATCAATCGCGGCAACATTTTGCTTGTTCTTCGACCCCTTGGTCTCCCTTTACTTGTAATCGTATGATCACCTCAAACACCTTGACCACTAACCTCCCCTAAGAATTACCCCAACATTACCAATGCCTAGATCTCTAAATACATCCTCGTTTGAACAACGATAACTTCAGATTTATCATCATTCCCAATTGTACCTAAGATCTCCCCCTTTCCAATGACTCGAACAATCATAACTTCATCCTCGTCCTTCTTCTCGGCATTCACCTTACCACCTACAAAATTCTTAATTTCAGTGGCCACCGACATTGCCTCAATTTTATTCCCAAACTCTAATACTCTTTCTCGTTTTCAAAACCCTCTTGCCAATTTATTATCTCAGTCCTAAGTTCTCCTTATTCTTAGAACCCTTAGGCCTTTGTTCTTTAATTATTTGCCTAAAAGCACCACCGCCTTCTTCTCCATTTTCCCCAAAAATCACACACACTTGCCTTTAGGTTTCTCTACCCTCAATTACCTACTTTTTCTTATCTCGTGCACCCTCTCACTACCACTCATATCACCGTTTCAAGAAATGGTGTCAGAATTCCCTCCACCACCAATTTCTTGATTTTACTTTTGCTGGATTTTCTTCATTTTCTTCCTCTCATACAATTGCTTGTATTTAATTTTGTGCCTCTGGCAGAGAGTTTTGCCTGGTACTACTTTTGATTTGTACTTTCAGTTTCCTCTGGACCCAGTCCTACAGAACTGCTTCCTCTGATCGACCCTTGACAACCAGAGCCACCTGTACCACCAGTCGCCACTTCCATTATTTCCCAATTTATTGTTTCTCACAGCCACCAAAAAAGCAAGAAATACCCCTTGTAAACCATCCACTCAAAGACCCAATTTTTGCTTGCGAATTACACCCACATAGGAAGAAAACAGAATGCAAGCTGATTAAGAAAGAATTCAATTTCAAATTCATTCTCACATTAACAAGAAATGGAGTCAAAATTCCCTTCACCACCGATTTCTTGATTTTCCCTCTGTTTAAGTTTTCTCATTGTCCCCCTCTCGTATAAGTTATCTGTACAGCATTCTTAAGGATCAATGTACTATATATATATATATATATATATATATATATCGACTAAATAAAACAAAAATGCAAATGAAAACATATCAAAGAGCACGAAAAATTTAACTTTAGTTTTAACATCAGATTTCTCGCTTCAGTGGTGGCAATGCTTGCAGCAAAAACAGCCAGCTTCTTCACCTATAGCAAATAGAATTTCGATTAAAATATCAACAATTTGGTGAAGGCAATCAATGCAGCTCCTTTTCTTGTTCTGCCTAAGCAAAATTTTCTGAATTCATGCATAAATTCTTCATATTTTTTCGATTATATTCTAGAAAGAAAAGTTGAATCGACATATTAATTGAAATTATCAAAAGTGGCTATTTGTCGGTTTACCAAAGATAGCTAAATCAATATTTTATTTTCTAACATTGCAATCTGACATAAAGGAGAATTATGCTGAACAATTTATAAGTGACATATAAAGTAAATGTAACAAATTTCAATACCATTTCAATCCAAGCTCTCTTATTTGTTTGGTTGTTTCCAGCAAAAAGAAAAGAAAAAATAAAAAATTCTAGATATGAATTGAAATGATCAAAAGTGACTATTTGTCGGCTTATGAGAGAAACTAGATCAAGATTTTTTAACTAGAGTCCCCACATAAATGAAGCTACTACCAAACAGTTTACAATTATTTGTCAGCTTATAAGATAAAGCTAGAATTAAGATTTTATTTAATAGCGTCCCGACATAAATGAGCCTATTGCTGAACAGAGTATAAGTGTTGTATAAGCACGTGTCATAGAATCTTCATATTTGATCAACTATTTCTAGGGAAAAATTGGATCGTGGTGATACTTGAAAAGAAAACAAGTGATCATTTGTCGGCTTACAAGCGAAAGCTAGATCTAGACTTTATTTACTAGCACCGCGACATAAAGAAGATTTTTGTCACTGCTGAACTCACTGCAGACCTAGCTTCCAAGGTATAACGCTAACATTAACTTCTTCTTATCGAGATTGACAGAGTCGCAGCAGAGATTGCAGGCAAAAATAAACATGGGCCAATAGCACAGTGGTAAATTTCCCAAGATTTTCATTAAAGTCAGTTAAAAAACTCGAAATTCAGATCATGTTATAGTACAATAGAAACTAAGGGTCAGAGTATGAACCCAATAACTGCATCGAATGATATTCAAAATCAATCTTGTGTACTATGTGACAATTGCAGAAATGTAAATAAAGTGAAACTGAAAGTTATAAAGGCATTACCTTTGGGCGGAATCATTATATATCCTCTTGTATTGAGTATAAACTGCTACAGAAAGGACCTGCAACAGTAGATTCAATTTAACATCAATGACAATATCATTCTTCAATTTGAGGCAAGAGAATCTAAAACAATTCAACTCAGACCACACAAAAAAAAAAAAAAAAACACCGAATCATCATTAAACTGAAAAAGATGACCTTTTTAGCTCTCTACAGGCCAATCACAAATTTTTTTAGCCCCTTACAGATTCCTTTCGGATTGGAAAATTCGGTCCAAAATTGGACCCACCCCAGCACCCATCCTAGGAGCCCGGAGCCCGTACTTGGCCAGTCCCATTCACTCATCTGAATAAATTTGACTCCCCCAAAAACAGCCCCCAAGGCAGTATAAGGACAATTAACTTTGATAAAGAATGGTTTTTTGAGGTTTAGTGTAGTAATCGAGACGTGGGTTTTGGAGGAAAAAGTGAAGATTTAAGTGAACTGAGTTGTTATAAAATTTTCGGGATTTTAGGAACTTTCCATGAACGTTTAGACTGGAAAATGCTCTGTAAAAGGATTTCTAGAGCTCATGGCTATAAGTGGAAATTGAGTCAAATAGTCTATCACCTGATATAATTTGCAATATACCCTTTGACCAGAATAAATATTTTATAATAAATATTTTAAATTAATATTAATAGGATCGTTCTATACGTACAGAAGCTTCTTTACAGAAATTTTAAACAGGAACACGTGTCGCAAGGGAAAAGGAAAGGCACATTTGGCGGATGGCAACTTTGGGGAAAAGTGTTGTATAAATTAAATAAATTATTTATGTTTTTGTCTTAATTTTCGGGCTCATTATGTAATATCAAACGAAATCGAAATATTACATTTTTAATACCATTTTGAAGTACTCACAACCTAGTATTTCACGCCGTTAAAGAGGTACAAAACGGCCAATCGTAGCAAATATTACGTAGCGTCAAAGTAGGTCATTCCAAACTAATATTTCAAAAATTTCGATAACAAGCTAACTTTAAAAATTATTCGACGATTGTACGTTAGTCGAACCCATAAATCTTTTATATCCTCTTGAAGCTCATTTCGAGAACTATATCGTAAACATATCGAATGATCGAAATGAATATCATATATAATTAAACGTACGTCAAACATATGCGTCAAAAATAGTCGCATAACTTGTCTTTTTCTGAAAAAAAAAAATTAATTATTTTATTAATATTTATTATTTTTGCACGACAAATTTCTCAATATAAATCACATCATTTTATTAGGAATTTTTATACGTGGAGTGACGTCAAATTTTTTTTATTTTTTTTTACGTAAAAATTCCTATTAAAATTATTATCACTTTATATGATTTATAAATTGTTATACCAGTTTTTCATTTTGATTACTTCTACATACGAAAAAATTTTATATATAAAAAAAAATCGATCATTTTAGTAATTTACATCATTTTATTAAGAAATTTTATATGTGGTATGACGTCAATTTTATTTTTTTTACATAAAATTCCTAAAAAAATTTTTATAATCAAGATGAAAAAAAATTAATTGACGTCCATA